AAAAAGGGGGGGGGGGGGGGCTGAGAGGTCAAGCTTCTTATGTACTGAAAGGCCAATGGTGGCATTCACTCTGTGTTTTAGAGAAGAGGTAATAAAAAAGTCTTTTCATATCTTGTATTGAGCGAAGTACAACATCAAGTCCAAGTCCTCTTCCAACTTCCTAAACAAGTCATCATCACTCTCAAATAAACTTCATAACAAAGCAGAGTAGATGCTACTTAGTGTGTTGCTCCTGTCACACAATGACAAATCTTTGAGCCAAATCTAAATATTATGTGGCCAGACAAACAACTGCAGTGTCTTTGTGCCTGCTGGATGTGCACACTGCCACTGTGTGCTGACACCTTCACTATATTACCTTTATAAGGTAATGATATGGATAGTGGAATTATTTCAGCGTCTCATTGGGCGACTCTTTGTCTCTTCATGGTTGCATTTAAAATGTCAAAACAGTAACATCGCTACGTAAATTATTTATATTAATCTCTACATTATATAATATTGGATTGTTTGGATTGTATGAACCTGGAAAACGTCTAGTAACTGTAGCTGCTGTGACCACCCCTTCCTCTCTGTTCGGTCTAATTTGAGTTGTCCTTTGTTCTCCGGGGTTCATTTCCTTTCAGGAAGTGACTTGGTAAAGTGATGGTGATGATTAGACATAGGAAGTTCATCAGTCATCGGGGCTGTTGTGTTGGCAGCGTTTGAAAGCTGGTTGTCTCACTGTGTTTGGCTTTTTCTTTTTCTTCTTTTTACCTCAACATGTGTGACTTCCTTTCCTAAACCTTGAACCAAGTCATGACACCATGAAGTGAAGGTGGTGGAGTGAAAAGCAGATTATATCTCTCTAAAATATTGCAGTAGAAGTATAAAAAAAACTCCAGTAATGTACCATTAAAATTTCACTCAAGTAAAGTGGTTGAGTAACGAGAACACAGTCAGTCATACTCACTGCAGGCAGATACTTATCATTCAGACTGCTGAGGTCCCACACACACTCAGTCATACCAACATATGGAAAGCAGCTGGTCTGGACGGAGCTCCAGGACGGGTTTCTCAGAGACGGTGCTGCTGAGTGTTCCCAAAAATGTTCAATCTGTCCCTGGCACAGTGATCCGCTCCCACGTCTAAAATCTTCCAACATGATTCCAGTCCTGAAGCAGACAGTCATAACACCGTCTCCATGACTACAGTCCAGATGCTTTAACACCAGTAATCATGACTGGTCCTCAGTATAATCACAGAGTCAACTGATCAACTTCACACTGTACCTATTTGTACATGTACAGAAAAAGCCTACATTGCATTTGTATACGTTATTGTATATAGTATTTCTAATTATCTTATTTATTTTAGATTCTGTTTCTCTGTTCTTTTTTTTTATTTTTCCTCTACTCCCTTGACTGCACAGTGACCCACAACATGAACACAAACATTAAATCTGAAGACAGTGGTGAGGCTGATCTGATCACCCACGTCTCTCAGGATCTCATGTGGTTAACCAGCAGAAACTCTCTGGTTAAAACTACACAGCAGCCACTTTATTTCTAAGATCAGCGTGCGACAACGGCTGCTTGTGTCCTGGTGTGGGGAGGCTCTGCAGAAAATCACCAACACATCTGCCTGCCCTGGGAGACTATAGCTCTCGTGCTGCATCTTATAAGACTCATCTCATCCGGCCATGACTTCTTTACCCTTCTGCCCTCAGATTAATGAAGCTTCTACCCCAAGGCCATGACCGCAATAAACTCTGCACTGAAAAACCGCCTGGCATAGACAAGACAACACTTATCCTCTGCAATAACAATTATGTGCAATACTTCTCTTGTGCAATAGCTACCACCCCCCCCACCCCCACCCCCCACATTGATCGCATTGATTATTCTTTTTTTGTGGAGTCACTGTAAAAGTCATGTCATTCGTTCTGCTTTATGATTCATTTCCTGTCATGACATGAATCATGGACATGTATTAAACTATTTTATTAAACCAGAACTGTTGAAGTCTGAAGGTAAAAACCAAAAAAAAGCTGATTTCAGTGAAAACTTTTGTCGGAGAGGGAAGAAATGTTTTTATTTATTATCCTGAGTTTTTTGTTGTTTTCCCACAGCTCACACATCCTGTCATTCCTCACCAAAGACAAAGTTTGCACTCAAACTTCAAAGAAGCACAAAACCACAGTGACACAACCCAGTTACGATGAGCTGTTTCTGCTACTTATGGTCATTCTTCCTTCCACTTTCTCATCCTTTATCTCTCATTTCGCTGAACAGGAAAATGACTTCTCGTCAACTAAACATCAGACAACTGAGAAGATGTTTTTTTTTTTACACTAATTTGTAAGTTCAAACAAATGGGAAAACTTGTACAGAGTGGACAAATTATATCCATTGATCTTAATATATGCTATATATTTGGTATTATACCAAAAATGTCACAAACTTTTTGACACACAAACTTTTCATTGATTAAGCAGGAAAGTGATTACTTGTCATATGAACATAAAAACATTTAGTGAGTATTTTTCCAAACACTTTTTAGTTCAGTCACAATCAAGAATATAAGCCAAGTGCACAATGTATGTGTTGTTATACTAATTGGGCGATATTGACTTTATAGATCTAAGCTCACAAATGAACTTAGTTTTTATGGCATTTTAACAGTTATACACAATAATACTCTGTGTCACTGATGGACTGTTGTTTACAGTGTACCAGCAATGACCCATGGGAGAGGGTGTTTCACTCAACGCCACACAAAGTGAAAAACAATCCTATAATATAGATGAATATCGCCCTCTGGTGGGAAAAGCCGGTTTTCTTTCTAACATTTTCTGTTAACTTCCCAGTTTCAACATAAAGTGCTTTTCACAAACCAGTAAAAAGCACATTTATAGTTTTAATAGTTTCTAACTAACCTGTAAAAATCATGTGAGATTTAATAAATCATTAGAGACACAGTAAAAAAAAAAATCAGGCTGTTTTTTCTATAGGTTTCTGTTTTAGAGACATAAGAAACAGAAAGGGGAATTCTGGGATATGACGACTACAGGAAACTGATGTTATCTGCAGAGGTTGAGGTCTTTGTGAGGGTTGAGCAGAGGGGAAGGACATGCATCGTGCTTGTAAAAGACTTTACCTAGAAGTCATTTCTGTGTATTTCACAGTGAATGGAAGTTGGTTTCATGTGTGTTTTTTGTGCCTGTTCATGAATCAGTCTAGTAAATATTTTAAATATGTATTGGAAAAATTACATTGATAACAATATATTTGTGTGAACTCTCTTTGACTTTTTTGTATCTTACAGTAAAGATAAGATGTCAGACTTTCTGCTGCCTTTTATCAAATATGAAAACAACTTGTTTATTTGTTGTCTTTGACCTCAAAATAGATGCGCTTATTCGGTCTCAGGTTATGAGTCATCTGTGACGTCACAGGCAGGAAATAGATACCACACAGCTGGATCTGCATCTATGTGAATCGGAGGTCAGCACAGAAGGTGGTATCTCGACTAAGACGAAAACAAGACGCAGGTCACATCTGTGATCAGCTGGATGTTAGGGTTCAAATAATAAAAATATCCACTGGAAGAGGCAAGTACAAATATTGAAATAGTGCTTTAGCCTGCGTGTGTCCTGAACATTTAGCTTTTATGTCACTTAGTGCGTACATCTTAACTTTTCTGTGAACTTTCTAAAAGGTTAAAGGGTTAAAATATGACAACTATCTGGTAAAATATCTCCATGTAAAAAAAAAAGAAAAAAAGAATATTAAAATAGATAGAGGAAGTGAAGGGAAAAGAAAAACTGCTCGTGTTGAGACAAGCTTATCACTTCACACAGACATTTCCTCGCTCACCCAGTGGCCCCTTTCCGTTTATTACCTCATGCCACGTCCCTCTGGGGATCACAGAGCTGGGACAGAGATTCTTCATGGGCCTTGTAATAAATACTGTGTGTGAGGCTGAAGTACATGAGAATATGGACATTTCAGGGGGCGAATATTTCAGTTAAGAAAAAGTAAAGTCTGCTTAAGGGAGGAATTTAAGAAGAAAAGTAGAAAATAAAGGTACAGCGTGAATAGTTTATGGCAGACATACATGAACAAAAAGAATGTGGTCCAGCGCTGTCACCTTTGTATCTCATAAAACAGAGGCCCAAGTGTGAGGGTGTTAACGTCCCTGGTGCATGTTAAAACAAGAACCAAAGGAAACCTACATTTCTGTTCATCCTGTTGAAGATGTTAGTTGTCTGTTTTTTCCATACTCACCCAGCTGCATGGGGGGAGGTGTTTGTAACTCGAATACTCCCACAGAGCGGCTGCAGACGGAGGTGACGCTGAGCAGCGCTGAGATGTGAAGCTGAAAACACCGGAGAGGAGCCGAGCTGAGAGCCGTTCAACGAACACAAAAGATGGGGAAACTAAATCTCTTTTTTCTCCTTTTGGTTCTCGGTGTAAGTGGCACACTTCAGAACAAAGGTAAGAGATGCTCATTAAAGTTTAGTTTGAGATATGATTATATTTCTTTAATAATATTTTCATATCATCTATGTATCATATCAGATCTTCTTTGTTTGGTTTGATTTGTTATCTGATGTCTTCATCAGTTCACTTAAAGGCGAGCTATGACTTGTAGAGTAGTTTCTCACTTATTCACTGTAACACCAACTATCACATCACGGCTTGTGTAATATCATTATGATTCAAAATGGTTCTTTATCAGGATTAGAGCTGAAACAATTGGTCAATTCATTGATTAAACAAACAATTAAAATTAGTGGAAAAAACAGTTTTGACAAGTGATTAATTATTTCCCTTTATTGAATTCAGAATTAAATTAAATATCTATGGGTTTTGGATTCTTGCTCAGACACAACACGTCTTTTGAAGGTGTTTCCTTGTTCTTTAGGGGAGTGTTATTTCACTTATTCTGACATTTTCCTACATTTAACTGAAGGATTCATCTCAGTTTAATCTGTTAGTTTGTGCCCTAATCTCTGTCTGATGTCTGTATTTTCAAGGTTATTGTTTATTGATGATGACACAGTTGAATTTTGTTTTGATGAAATGTATTTAAGTACAATGAATATTATAACTATCATGAACTTTTGTGTTTTCATTGCAGAGAAAAACAGGAACAGAGTAAAAAAGCAGGCGAACAGCTCTGCAGTTGTCTTTCCTGTGCCCAGAGTATTTAAAGGGGATCCAGTCTATCCGACTTACGCCTCGAATGGGACTCAAGCTCCCAATTCGTCTCATTACCCTCCAGCACTGCGGTTACTAAGCAACGGCACAGCAGAATACCTCGACGGCCCTCTCAGCACCCGGGTCATCCCCATTATTTATATGTTGGTGGTTACTGTCGGGGTCCCGGCCAACTTTGCCATCTTGTGCTCGCTGGCCTCTAAAATTAGAAAGGTGTCCTCTGCCATCCTGTACTGCAGCCTGGCTGTCTCCGACCTCTTCCTCCTCTTCTCCCTCTTCTTCAAGGCTCACTACCATCTCCATGGAAACCACTGGGCTCTCGGAGAGGCTGCCTGTCGAGTGGTCACGGCCTGTTTCTATGGCAACCTCTACTGCTCGGCCCAGACGCTGGCCTGCATCAGCATCAAGCGCTACCTGGCTGTAGTGCACCCGTTCATGTACAAAACGCTCCCCAAGAGGATGTGCACCGCCTGGGTGACTCTGGCCCTGTGGTTGGTGTTTGGAGCCGCCATCGTCCCCGAGCTCCTCATCCAGCAGAGCTATAGGCTCCACGGGCAGGAGCGCATCACCTGCCATGACGTACTGCCTCTGCACCATGACTCCCATATGTTCCTGCTCTACTACAACCTGATCCTGACCCTCTTCGGCCTCCTGGTGCCGCTGGTGGTCACTGTTGTGTGCTACGCCCGAATCGTCTGCGAGCTCAACCAATCCCACCTCGACTGGGCGATGTACATCAAGGCGAGCTCGCTGGTGTTTGTGATCTTCCTGGTGTGTTTTGCCCCCGCCGGAATCCTGCACTTTCTCCATTACGTGCAGCTGTTTGTGGACGGAACAGAGAGTTTGTACATCTACTTTAACGTGGCGGTGTGTTTGTGCTGCCTCCATTCCTGCCTGGACCCTTTCCTCTTTCTCCTCATGTCCAAGTCTGCAGGCTCCAGGCAATACCTGAGGGGCTTTAAGGGCATATCCCTCAGCTTATCTGTCTAAGAGAGACCCACTGTACATGTTACCAAAACCTGGCTTTGATTTATATTTTGTAGCTGATGAGGAAGGAGATGTTCTCTGTGGCTGGAATCCAAAGAGGAAGAGAAATGACCTGTGTTGTATTTATACTGTAGTAAACAAGCAATGTTTATCCTGTAAATAGAATTATTGTTTTTAATACAGAAAATATAGTTTTTTCATGTGTGAGTCTGTCTGTGACAGAGATAGAAGAGAGAAGGATAAATACGTATATATGAAAGATATGATGTATTAATTTTAAAGTAACAGACATGAGAGTTCATGGTTTAAAGGAGCTATTTGAAGTTTTGCTATTGCTGCATAGCCAACATTAGCATTAGCAGCAGTTTACTCACCAGGGGTGTTTATGCTTGAAATCTATAGCTGGCCAAAAGTCATGTGAAACAGAGTCAGAAAATGAGCCTGCTATGTGTTTGTTTATTCCTGTAATCATGTATGGAGCTATGATGTCAGTACATTAAAATGTAAACTTGATTTTGTATCTTTGTATTATTTATTAAGATGTTTTATATTGTTTTAGATATCGCTGAAGCCAAATTGATTTGAATCCCATTTTCTACAACGCAGAGCTTCACTATATAGAATAGCTGTAGATCTAATCTTTGTTTATCTTATGGTTTGAACTACTCAAGAAGATAATTACCCGTCCCCCAATTACTCCTTCCTCATAGTTGGTATTTCCTGCACAGCATGTGACAGGTCTGTGGTTGACATAACATCCCCACCCCCACACTCACTGTATTACTGTACTATATTAGGTACATGCAACAAAGGAATCCAGTAGTTCCTCCCTCTGCTCTCACACAGCCTCAGTTTATCATGCCATTAATTCTGCAAGATGTGGTAAGCTTTACTTTGTAATTCTGCACACAGTCAGCAACAATACTCAGAGGATGTGGGAGTCAGACCTTGACTGGTATTAAGGGCCCAACGTGTGTCAAGAAAAAAGTCCCCACACCATTAAACCACCACCACCAACCTGGACTGTTGACACAAAGTAGGTTGGGTCCATTTCTGAGTATTGTATTATAGTATTGGATGAATTCTCATGAACTTTCGCTCCGACATTCATGGTCCCTAGATGAGGAATCCTACTGACTTTAGTGATGCCCTGACATTTTTCTCTAGCACCACCATGAGGGTCGACATTTGTAGTTTTGAGTGAAATGTCTCAACAGCTACTGGATGGATTGTCATTACATTTGGCACAGACATTCATGTTCCCCTCAGGATGAATTGTAATAACTTTGGTGATCCCCTCACTTTTCACCTGACAGCATCATCAAGTCAAAACGTTTAGCATTCAGCACAGCTTCACAGAGCTGAGAATGTGTCTGTAGACTCTTAGTTAACTGAGAAAAGAATCTGTCACCCTGAGTTGCTCTGATTACTCAATCTTTTCATGGGTTGGAGGCCTGGGAAAAACACTTTTCTCAGAACTAGTTGTGTCAAGATTGGGTTTAGTCTGAAACCAAAAACACATGTTGGCCAACAGTAGATTCCAACAATTCAGTGCGGTTGCTTTGAATGCTTGAGCTGTCCATACTACTTAATATTTATGACAACAGAGGCTCCAAGTATCTCAGAGACCCTTTGTAGGTATTGGGTAATTTATGCCACCAGACTGGAGCCGGTCTGGCTGAGTTGTACTTGCCAAGATTTAAAAGGAGCTATTTGTAAGTTTTGCTATAGCTACATAGCTAACATTAGCATTAACAGCTGTTTACTTACCAGTCTTGCCCTGAGCTTCAGCCATTCTTGCTTTTACAAGACAAGAGGTTGTAATACATCCCCTGAGCAGCGCTACTTCTTCAGGGCAGCCTAGATGCTACAGTGAGTCGGTATCGGAAAGTGACGAGGCGAGCCGACCGGACTGGGGCTAGCTGGTTAGCATGCTAACTTCAGGATGAGAAAAGAAGTGATAGAAATAAGAGCAAAACAAATGGGTTGCTTTCCACCTCTGGATACAGCTCTCGGTGAGTAAAGGAATGAAGTTTGATGCTGAACTAATGTTTCTTCTAGACTGGTAAGTAAACAGCTGTTGCTAATGTTAGCCATGTAGCAATAGCAGAACTTGCATATAGCTCCTGCATGTACCTACCTGCCTCCAATGTTGATTCTCTTGGTGTTATCTGATGACAATATAGATTATCTATTGTGCTGGTTTATTAGTCACTTAGACTCCTGCATCTTTTACCATCTTTACATCAAGGGATGGAAATAAATCTTATTCATTGTTGTACGTGACATGAATTCTTACCACTTTGTCTTCGTGAATGAGGGAGCAGGCCTTGATTTCACATACGTACACTCTCTGTCTGCCTGTCTCTCACTTCCTGTCATGATGGTAAATGTCTCTCTGTGGTTGTCATTGTGTATTTAAAGCCTTGTTCTGTGGCTGCTTGAAAAATGAAGCTGTTGTGTCACAGCACGTTGTCCGCACTGACACCGTCACCTGCTGATCTGTGGGTGAACCTGTGAAAAATAAAGCTCACAGTAGTTTTGTCATTCTTGTTATTCTCTTAATTAACTCAAGTTCTGTAGACCTTCTAGGTTTTTTGTGTGTGCAAATGGATAGAATAGATTAGTGTTCAGCCTTTTCAGTAGTCATTACTAATATATACCTGTATCAGAGTGTAAGCTCTTGTGGTACTGTATATATTTTGTATGCATAGGAAAATACATAAGCAATGCATGCCAGTCATGTTTCTATGACAGGTTCATTTTTTATTTGAACATAAATCTATGTAAAAGTTTACTCATTGGATGTTATGTATTTTGATCTATAACATGACGATGAAGCAATAATACAAATCTTAATTTGTTTATTTTGTTGGTAAAATTACATATTGTCCTACTTTTTACTTTCTTCAGATGATTGTTTCTGACCAACTTTACTGCTAAAACAAATGATTAGTTTCAGAATATGTAGCTTTTGAAGGAAGAAATAAGTTTTCCTCTTAAAAATTAACATCCGAATTCATAAACAATAAAACGCTGTTATTCTTTTGATGTTTTTCATTTTACATCAATGTTTGTATGTTCATTCTATGTTTTTTCAGGTGATGCACTGTGTGCTACATTTCTTGTATGAAAGGTGCTATACAAATAAAGTTTATTATTATTATTATTATTGTTATTATTATCATTAAAACACTGAGGGGTTTTATTGCTGCAGCCGTACTTGGTATAATATGGCTAGTAACTTGTATCTAATGCTAGTGAACATTATTTACCATTATCCTGTAACTGTTCTATTGTTTCGTTTTCATTAAACCGGCCCCTCTGAATGAACAGCTGATTCCCCCGTCCCCCTGTGGTTTAACAAGGACTGTGACCAGCACTGATATCACACGATTGAATCTTAATGACTTTTCCTCCCAGACAGCCTCAAACAAACATGAACACCCACCAGGAAGCCGTCATAAATTTATCAAGATGTTAGTCATAAAATAAGGCTCCATAACAGACAACCTGACAGCCAGAGGAGCCTGTCCGGGTGAAAGCTGTATAAATGGCGCCATCTGCTGGTGGAAGTTGTTGCAGCCACATCTGGTTACACTGAACACACTGAACAAAGTCTGACAGCTTTTCAAATGAAATTCTTTATTCAATATGTAGACACCAGAGGAATCCACCTTAACACTGCATTCACTTGAGCCTTTTCTTATCAAAATAAATCATATCAAGGACAGGTAATTGCTTTTACACACACCTCCACATATCGTTTGATAGCAGAGGTTTTCAAATCTGAGAGTCACAATGTTGCTGCTTCAGTGACTTTACGATAATGATTAAATCAAACAGGAAACCTCCCATAAAAGCAGATTTGACCACCCCTGCTACACAACACCTTGTAGAACAGACAGTCATCTCAACCACTGGCATGCCCTTTCACAATGACCTAGAAGTCAACTCGGTATAATGAACACCTGTCCACGACAAATCTGACAACACACGAGAATGATACATTCACCTTTGACCCGGGGGACTCGCACATCTGCTTCCTCCCGCGGAGGAACGGCGAAGACACCGAAACAAACAAACAAAAAAAAAAAAGCACACACACAACAGAGGAACTTCAGTAACAAACATGCAGGATTTCTTTTTTTTGGAAACAGTGAGTTTGTTCAGCACAGGTGGTGGTGGTGTTCGGAGGAGGGGGGCGGTGCAGACAAGCTGACAGATAAAGCATCAGACATATTCATCAGGAAACCAGAGTAATATCTTCAAAGAGTTGCATTTCAGTCAGAAAAATGAAGCCTGCAAAGGAAATCGCTAAATGTAGGAGAACTCATTTGTTTTTCCAGAGAAGAAGAAATACGATAGAAGCAACAGAACGCCACATATGTTGACGCTAATTATCATTGGGAAAAGAAAATGAATGAAACAGTACTGCACTTTTGTGTTAATTGACTTTTTGTTGTAAGACTGAACAAACCCAGAGAGAGAGAACATGTCACAGGATTTTACTTTACAAATTACCTAATGCATTTTAACATTGATGCATTGACATTGTAGCAGCAAGTACCATTCATAAGAGGTTTTAAAGGGTCTGTTCACCCAAATAAAAAAAACACATATTTTCTTATTTAGTCATTATCTAGCCATGCAGATAGTTTTAGTTAAATTTGCCCAAAAGTCCCTCTGTAAGGTCTCTGCCTGTGTCTCAGTACAATGGAGATGAATGAAGTTTTGAGTTTGGTGCTCACAGCACTGAAAAATGTATGTCTATGGTTGTGATTAGCGTACGTTACCATGGTAACACAAAAAAGTAAGATTACGAATATGGTAAACATTAGACCTGCTAAACATCAGCATGTTAGCATGGTCATTGTGAGCACGTTAGCATAGTGATGTTAGCATTTAGCATTTAGTTTAGAGTTTAGAGCTGTAGAAACTAATTTTTATTCACTTCCATTGTTTTGAAAAGTCAAAAACTCAGCGCCAAAACTCCAAAACTACCTGCATGACTGGTAAATATGTCTTTATGAAATTTGGGTGAACTGACCCTTTACGCATGGCTTTTAATTTCGCTTCGTCATGTGGTTCAGATCCTCCAAAGATCCCAGTTTCCTGGTATAGAAAAGAACATTGAAAGAAGAAAAACTTGCCTTTCTACACATGAGATGCTGACTGTGTTTAAGACACGTATTCCTGGACACACACACACACACACACACACACACACACACACACACACACACACACACACACACACACACTGCAGTATCAAGAGATGAAGAGACCAAAAAAAAGCAGGGCAGAGCAGCAAAGCTTCCAGCAAGGTTTGGAAGGAGAGACGAGCTCAATGGAGAGAGAGGCACGACATTTGAGAAAGGCCTTTGAGTTTTGGAGGGAGCAGCAGCAAGGCAGGAAGAGATAAACAGAGAGGACAGGAGGACAAGACGGGTCGAGAGACACCATGACAGTGAGACAGATAGAGAGGAGGGGGAACAAAAAAAAAAAAAAACACAAGGAGAAGAGCATATTTTTTTTTTTTATAACAGCAGAGGTTTCCTACAGTATAAATTCTTCTTGACAGATCAGATTACGACTGAGAGCAAAGCCCTTCATGGTGAGCTCGGCGCCACGAGACGAACACAACACAGACACGAGAGAGGGAGAGAGGAAGCATTCAGACAAAAGGTTTCCAATCTCAAAAGTCTCTTACTGTAAAAAGCAGAAAATGTAAACTTCTTTTCACTTTAGAAATGTAGCTGCTGAAGTTGCCGGTTTTTGACTAAACTACTATATCGTTATTGATCTTTTTTCTTTTCTTTTTTTTTCTCTATGGCCTTGTCATTCTTGCAAAGTGCGGCAAAAGGCTTGAACATCATCAAACATCAGTGGGATATTGATCGCAGGTTCAGAAACTGGTAAAGCAATAAATAACAAAGAAAAAAAAAACTAATCACAAATACTCAGCTGCTACAACATGACTCGTGCTTCTTGTTGAATTATACACAGTTATTCACTTTCTTGCTGAGCATTGCTGATACCGCTCTCATGAAGTTAGAGCCAGCAGCCAGTTAGCTTAGCTTAGCATAAAGACTGAAAGCAGAGGGAAACAGCTAGCCTGGCTCTGTCCAAAGAGAACCAAATCCACTTACCAGCACCTGCAAAGCCAACGTGTAATATGTTGTTTGTTTAATTTGCACAGAAAAAGTGTAAAAACAACATGTCATGGCAGGATTTTGAAAAGGGGGATGTTGTTGGAAGTTCAAGCCTTTTGCAGCTTTGACACATGCGTTTGTGGGTTGCATGTGTGAAACCGCCCATGGAAGATAATGAGCTGCTGATATACAGAGTTTTTTTAACCACTAATAACTCTAGCTTGTGTCCTAAGAGTAACCAGAACACCCGGGGCTGTGGTGAACGGATTTCCAGATTTTTTAAACCTTTGATTGTTGTCTTCAAACTCTTTATATCCGCAGCTCTCTGCAAAGTTAAACTGCATTTCATTCTCCTAATTTACCAGGTATTTTACTCAGAAACAACGGAATAACAATCAGTGTCCTGTATTTGAGTTTGTGGACATGCTGACATTATTTGTCAAATAATAAACACAAGAATGATCACAGCTACGCGACGTGTTAGTGATATTCAAATAAACCGTACTGTCGCCCGCGAACGAGTTATTCAGTAAAACTGAGTAAATACCTGGTAAACAACATAACTGCTCTGTGTTGAGGTTTACATGAGGACATTGGCACGAGTGTCTGGCAGTCGGAGCCCCACCAGGCCGCCGCCAACCAGCACGGACGATGCCAGCAGGATGGGGATAGCCTTGGTGATGCCAACCAGCGAGCCAAAGATCAGGTTGCCCAGCACGGCTGCCAGCTTACACATGGCGTTACAGAAGCCAAATCCTGTGCCCCTGAAAACAAGGAGACAAGGACGAAGATGTAGAGGAGAGGGTCAGACATGTGCTGTATGTTTGTGTCATTCCATCTCTGGAAAACTTGAAGTAGCTACTGCACTGTATTTTATTCTGAAAAAGTTTCTCATGGAAGAACTTTTAATGGCCAATCCAAATTCAAATCTCCCAATTGGAAAAAAAGATGGTGGCTTTGTCATGTTTCTAATGATCATCCAGAATTAAATATAAGGCGAGCAACTCATATTCACTGCAGTGGCAGAATCTTACTTCACTTGTATACGTATCTATTCCAGGCAACTTTTTCAAATAAGTTTGGATTCGTAGCTCGAAGCTAAAATTGAGCTCAAGAGATGTGGTCTGACTTTTATGAAAGGAAAATTAACACCACTGTTGAAACAAATCAGAGATTTTGAGTGATTATATTTTGAGATTTTAATACTTCTAATAATGACGATAAAGATTAGATTGTAAACAGGTGAGAACAGTCTGTCAGGAGGGGGACATGAGAGATGTGAACGATGCCCCTGAAGGAGGTTTTATGAGTCACATTACCAGATGTGTTTTGAAGCAGCTGTTTTCCTTCAAACAAAGAACAAAGAGCAAGTTCACGGCATCAGTAGTCAACAAAATTTAACGAAGCGACCTTTGTCACCTTTCTTTAGATTTCAACCTCTGATCAGCTCTACTTCTTCGTCTTCTCATGCTGAACTGAGAGCAGACGCCGGACGCCACAGTGACTCAGTATTCTGAGACCAGGCCAGACCGCAGCTAGCTGGTTAGCATGCTAACTTCAGTAGAAGAAAAGTAGCGATAGAAGCAAAACAAGTCTGTTAATAGATTTCTTCTAGTCTGTTAATTAAACAGCTGTTAATGCTAACGTCAGCTATGTAGCGATAGCGAAAACTTTGCGTGTGCAGCACTCACCTCCTGTCTGTCGGGTACAGCTCGGTGGTGACCACATCCAGGGAGTTCCAGGCGGAGATGCTGAGGCCGTTGTAGAGACACAGCATGAAGATCATCATGGACTCGCTGGTGCCGAACCAGAGGAAGAAGCAGCTGATGCCTGACAGCACCATGGAGCCTCCTGCAGGACACAACGCGACACATCAACACGACAAGCCTAATTTTTTCAGGTGAAAAGGAGACCAGGGACAGTGTGATGTCATACCCAACATGCTAAGACGCCCTATTTTGTCCATGAGGAGAGCAGAGACGATGTTTCCAGGCAGCACGGCCAGCGTTCCCAGGAAGTTGACGAAGTAGACCCAGTAGGCGCTGTAATCATCTTCAAAGGTCATCTGACAGCCCGTCTTGTTGTGGTGGAAGGAGCTGTTGATCACCCTTGAATTCGTTAGCTTGGTGTCATCGACATCTGTAAACGTGAGAGACAAGAGTTCAGTTTTCGCACTGTGTTGAATTAATGCTTGAAGATGACGCTTTTAACAACTGGAAAACTTCCACAGTAAGATTTTTTTGTGACAGATTCTTCTGACTGCTGGTGATTTTGATCTGGAAGTGTTCATTTGTTTGATTGATGGTTTTAGACTTGGCTACTGTCGTGTCGTGCTTTTAATAATAAATAGACGCACACATTCGTGCAGCAGCAGAAAGAAATTGCCTGTCACTATTTTCCTGCAATTTCTATAATAAATAGTTTATTTTATGCTCACATGGTGAATATTCCTAATTGAAGTTGTATTTTATAAGTAGTTACAAGTAATATTACTCCATCTTAGAAACACTAGTTGGTGTCTGGACGTTTAATGAAGCTGATGTAGTGAGTGAATTAATTCAGCCACCTTATGGAGCCGCCTTAAGTTGCTTTGAGGATGTTTTTAATATGATTTTTAATTGACAGTTTTATTATCTTGGCTGTCAGGGTGCAAAACACATGCACCTCCTTCTTGTCCAAAAATTCCCCCTTGATTTCTGCTTCTTTTTTGTTCTTTTCTTTTTTACTTAATTACATTTAGAAAAAACTACAACATTTTGAGCCCAATCAGGTTTGATGAAAAACCAATTTATTCCAAAAACAAACTTCGACATGTAAAGAAGTAAAAATAATAATAAAGAGAAGCAGAATTTTATTCATAAGTGTCAAACTGTTGCGGGTTCAATGGGATCTTGCATCTTTACTGTATGTGACTGTATCACACTAATATTCTGTGTAGGTTAAATGTCTGTGGGCTCTTTCCTTAAATAGAAATGATGTATTAATAAACTTTAGCAGCTGCAGCAGTGTGAAAAATATTTCCGTGTGCACACCCTCCTGCCCCCCCCCCCCTCTCATTTCCTCTCCCCCTCGTTTCTCTTTATGCTCCGCTCTCCAGAGACACATTGCTGGGGGCAAAGAGACTGCATTTCCCATGGGGCATTACCAGCAACCTGACGTGCCCTTACTGTTTCAATGCCCCCCCCCCCCCGAGCGCTGGAGGGAACTAGTTTTTCCACCCGGCGCTCCCACAAGGTCTGATTCAGCTCCGGTTCTCTCAGAACAGTTAAAATGCCTCTCCTGCTTTTTCCTCTTCCTCCCGCTTGTGTTGGGGTTCAGCCACAAAATGATCGGACTACACTTTCATATCATCGCTGGGATTCAGCACAGGTGCGATTTGATGCATCAGATACAGAGGCCTCGGTTTCAGACATCTTTACAAAACAAAACATGCTGCGATGAATTATTCAGCGAGTGAACGGGGGAAGCAGGAAGTTTAAATTCCTTAGTGTCTTGAATCTAAAACATCAGATACAAAAAAAACAAACACTCTGCAGCCCAGCCTGTTTCAGTTTCTCAGCTAGCTACAGTCACATGACTTCAGAGAGCCAATCTGTGCAGGGCCAGAGAGGTTAAGCAGTAATTTAGTGACATAAAGCAAAGCCATAAATGCTCAAACCCATTCTTTCTTCTCTTGGACATTAGAGCTAAAATGAACTGTCTGAGCGAGACACAGCGGCTGATTGAGACTCATGTGTGAGGCACCTACTGTATATAATAGGATTTTCTGAGGGGGGGGGGGGGACACCTCAGCGCAGGTGGACACTCACCCGTGTTGTAGAAGAAGGAATCCACAATGGTACAGTTATTGAAGGAGGATCCCACTGAGGAGACGTCTTCAAAATAACAGTTGATGAAAGACGAGTCGATGAACGTGACTGACTTGAACTTCATAGTGATGAACCTGTGAGGAGGAGGAGGAGGAGGAGGAGGAGGAGGAGAGGACATGAATGTAAGTATCAGGATTAACAGGTTGGTAACATATTTCTGACAGCAGTGATAAGACTCTACCACAGCAGTTCCCAACCTTTTCCATTTCACAGCTCACTCGAAAATCTCAAAATGTTGGCGGCCCACACGCGACCTCGTAACCACACGGAGACCAAACGACACGTTCTGAGAGCACTTTGTATTTTTAATGATAGGACTGAGCTGAAAGCAGGGGGAGCTCCATTTTTCTGTTCTGATTCATTATCGTTATAATCATTACATTTTGTACATTTTACTGCTTGCAAATGATTTGTCCGCCCACAGGTTGGGAACCACTGTTCAGCAGGTACAAGTGAACACGACACACTTTTTAAATTGATGTAGTGAACTTGTTAGCAAACAGTCGCTTGTTTTCATGTTTCTGACCTCCTGGTGAATCTAACACTTTTGGTCTCTGCCGACTCCTGAGGAAAACATCAGGCATCAACTTCTCTACTTTTACTTCAGTAAAACTTTAAATGCTCAGCTTCTACTTGTAACAGAGCAGTTTTACAAAGGGATGCTGCTACTTAAGTATAAAGTGTCCTTCAGCATGTCTAACATGACAGGGCCTTGCCAGTCTGTTATTGATCTCTGTATCTGTCGCATGCTGCTGCACACAGTATCGTGATACTGCTCTTCCATTTTTTTCTCTTAATAAACGTCTCCAGCGAGGATGGAAAAGAACAAAAACACAATCCAAATAAATATATATATACATCTCTCGTGTAGTTGAGAAGATCACTCAAACCCACGCACTAGCACACACACACACTAGTGATGTAGTGCTGTGTGTGTGTGTGTGTGTTTGATGAGTACAAGGACTCAGAGGCAAAGTGGGGGGGAGAGAGAGAGAGAGAGAGAGAGAGAGAGAGAGAGAGAGAGAGAGAGAGATACGCCTTTTAATTTCCTGGTGGTGAGAGAGATAAAGGAGGCAGGATGAATATTACCAGCAGAGGTGTGCTGTTTGTGGGAATGACGAATAGTCCCTGCCATCCCACAGCGGGACAAGCAGCAAGCCTTAAACACAACACCGCGCCGAGGGAGGCTCACGAGGTTTAACAATCTCTTAATCATACTTCTTTTCTTTCTTTTTTTTTACCTGTCGTTCATAAAGACAGAGTTTCTGTGGATCTGGTTTTCCAGGGTGAAGTTGAAGGTGAAGTCTTCAATGCGTTCGTTGTTGTGGATCTTCACTCTGGAGGCGTACTCGTCGGCCTGAAGGTGCTTGATGACGTCAGGGAACCACACAGACAGCCCGTAGTACCTGGACACAACGACACAGCGCGTCATTCTGCTACGGGTCGCCTGAATCATCTGAGGCTCATTTTAGTATCATGGTTAATACCGATCACCTGTAGCCAATGAAAGCACATGTAAATGCAAGAGAGGAAATGGACAAAACATTTCCTAAGAAGGGCGCAGATTAGGTTTCAGAGCCACCAATCACATCTCCTCTGAGGATAGGCGACGCATGTGGTGACCCAATCAGCAGAGGGGTTTCCACGACGCACCAAGGGTTCATATTTTTTACTGGCAGAGGCTGAATTGGTCCCTCTGGTGGTGTTTGGTGTCAAGAGCTGAACGATATGAAAAACAAATCATATTTGGGCAGATATTGCGATTGCGACACGAGTCTTGATTTCAGCTGGAGTGTTCACTTTTACGTTTCATTTTCACAGAAAAATTTTTTTTTTTAAAAACTGGCGATGATGGGATTTTTCTTAGCGTGTTCCCTTCAGTCAGTAGGCGTCCGTGTAGCACCGCAACACTTTCAGCTCCTGCTAATCAATATTGAATTAGTCATATTGTAATTTCAATAATATTTCAATTAATTGTTCGACCCCAGCATCAACACTTTACAGAAAATTTAGTTAATTCCAATGGAAACGCTGTGATTAGTGGTGAAGTAAATCTGCTTGTGCGTCTACTGACAGTTAGGAGGTATTTTGGATAAAAGTGAGTGACAGAGCAGCTAACTGCTAACTGTCCTTTAGCAAGCCAGTTAGTTTCCTTCTTCAATAAATCTTTATTGAATGAAATGCTGCACAGTGCTGAACAAAAGGCCAGGGTGAAGTAAATAGAGTAAATAGTGACTTTGTGACTGCGATTCATCTTAATTAAATCTGGTAACATAGCAGCTAAATGTGTGTGTGTGTGTGTGTGTTTGTGTTTGTGTCTTTAAATGTCTATACATGTGTGTGTATGTCCATAAAAAAATGAAAAAAGAGGAAATGACAGTGTTGTGGAGTAGATTGTGTCTGAGCGAGGAAGTCAGACAAAAAGAAAATATGAAACCAGAATAGAATAGAATAAATTACTATTTTTTTTGTATTATAACACAACCTACTTTTGTCTCTTTTTAATTTTTAAAGATTTTCCTCAGGGCTGAAAATTTCCAACATGTTCACACTGTAATTCATCGAAGCAGCCAGCAGGAAAAAAAAAAAAAAAATCAGTTCTCTCCTTCTAATTTCACCTGTCAACATTCATCAGGACGATATAAGTGCGAGAGCATCTGCCTCAGAGACGAGAGCTACAATGAAAATCAGTTATTAAGCAGGAAAGTAGTGGTGACTCAGCTAAGTATCATCCGGGGCAGAATACAGCATCCTTCAACATGACGGAGGCAAACAATGACAACACAAGAGAGGTGCAGGAGTCGAGCTGGAGGTGAAGCCAAAGACTCTGCAGCAAACTTCTTACCCAAAAGACAGAGTGAACCAGACTGCAGCCAGTTTCATAGTGTTGTCCTTTACTGGGTAGTTGAAGCATCTCATAAAAGTCAACCAGATCTATTTATAAAAGGGAAACAATTTTTATATAATTAGAAATCTTTTACAACCGTAAACAAAAAAAACGGAGTATAAAACAAACCAGGGCAAAGACAAAGCAGCGGCATACTCCTCTGAGCTCGGCCTTGATCTTGAGGAGGACCTTGAGCACAGGGTTGGCTGACTCATTCTGCATCTCCACCAGCTCGTCCAGCTGTTTGGGGATTTTTATCCGGTTCACCTGCAGGGGGAGACACTGATCTGTCACCTGCTGACGGCACTGCAGCAGCAGGGGGGGGGGGGTTGCCAAGTGTAGAGGCCAGTGTGTGTGTGTGTGTGTGTGTGTGTGTGAACTCACAGTGAAGACTCTCTCCGGCTCTCCGCGGGCGCGCATGTTGGTGTCGTGGATGTGTTTGAGCACCATCCAGGCCTCGTCGTGTTTACCCATCTAGGAGAAAAGACAACTTGAACGTATTATGTTTACGTGTGGCTGGACTTGATCTGGCTTTTATTCCTGAGGAGTTTCTTGGATTTGGATTCTCTTTATACTCTCATTATATCGTTACACGGGTAACTTTTCTATATTTGTGAGAAAATTATAAAACATGTTTACAATAATTAAACAAATCATGTGTGCCCAGGAGTTTTCAAAGTTCGCCCCCCTCCTCATAAATCTCTCTCTGGGGACGTAATTAGAAGTATAATGTTGGCACAACTCCGAGCGAATCAGTTATGGGCTACACATTTTTTTTTTTAGCCTTAATGTGTTCACGTTGGGCAAACTGGCACCATAAAAAAGTACGCCAAATTAGCCACTAGCACTTCCTGTTTGCAATGTGCTCACGCATGTATCGACAGCTATCACTTCACGTTTACTTTTACAAAGAGGAGAAAGATTCTAAGCAGATTTATGGCCATAGACATTAGAGATGTGTGTGTGTCATGTCTAAATGTTCAGATTTGACTGAGTTATGACTCCGAGAAGGACTAAAGATTTTTTGTGGCGAGTAGGGTTTTACATCTCTTCCTTCATGCCCCCTCTCAACTCTCCCCCCGACCCTGGGAGTTTGATAATAGTTTGAAATCTGCGTTTGTTTTTCTTAAAATAAAGCAAATACATTTTCTTATCCATACGTATCATTATAACTGTCATTAAGGGAAAAGAAGGCGCCGCCAGCACCACAACAAAACACTGTCTCTCTCTCTCTCTCTCACCTCCAGGTAGAAGCGAGGGCTCTCAGGCATAAAAGTGAGAGCGACCACTGCAGAGACGCACGGCAGCGCACACACCACCACAAACACTCTCCAGCTGTGGAACTGGTAGGCTGAGCCCATGCTGAAACTCCAGCCTGCACAAAGGACGAGGACACACACACATATATAGTCAGAAATAATGTCGTATGTCGTAAATTCAATCCTATATAACATGAAAAAACTTTAATGAAACAAACACACAAAAACTTGATTTATAGCTTCTGTAGTTTTCACTCCATTTCATTTATTTTTCTCTTTCCTTCAAGGTTGGAGTCACTGCAGGTTTTTATATTTCACTCTGTTACGCTCACGGACAAACACACCAGCTGTTTCTCTGCCACAAGCTGATGATGTTAAAAAGGTTTTTACCGAGGTGTTTGCAGAATATTTCGGACAGCGTATTTAGCTGCTGAGGTGTTGCTACAGCCGGTGAACGCTACACGGCGTGGATACTTTCTCTGCGTTCAGGTAGTTTTTCTTTGGTGTCACCAGGTCGCTGCTACATGTTTGCAAGCTGTGCCAGGGTTGCTACGGTGATTGGTGTGGCTGCTCGGCATCTTCAAGTGGTTGCTAGGGAGGTCTGGGAAGTTGCTATGGGGTGCAGCGGTCTGAACGGGATGAAGCCTGAGGTTGAAGCTTTCAGCACCATGGACAGAGACACTGCTGTTTCCATCCAGGGGTCAAATCCAGAAACCACAATTTATTTATCTAATGCAGAATTCACTCATACCTTAATTGCAAAGTCAACTTGTAAAGCGGGGACATGTTATTTGTGTGTTGGGCTCTCTGCACTGCAGAACTCTCTCTTCAGATGTTCTGTTTTATTCCATTAGAAGAAGAACAATATTGGTATGTTATCAAAGGAAGAGCTTTAATCCCTGGGCATGACAGAGAGATGTAAATTGGAGTTAAAGATCAAAACTCATTATGAACTCATTATCACAAAAATGTGTTTGAGTTTATACTGATATTTGCACATCGTTGGCAATTTTAGGATAATTTCCTTGCGAAAAACTTGTTAAGAAGTGACTACATGCTTCATTAGTTCAGCTCCCGTGAAGCTGGCTTGTTACATTAGGGAAGGAGCCTGGCGGTCCTCAGAGGAACATGACCCACATTTGCTTTTTTTTTACTAATCTGGCGAAATGTATGTGTGTTTCCTGTTGACCACACACAGGAAGTCACAGGAGAATCAATTAGTTGGCAGCAGTGGCAGTAGCAGTACTCAAAACACAGTGGAGGTCGACATCGTCTAGAGCTGTAAGTCCCCTCCACAATTTTTAAGAGAAAATTACAAAAGCAGTTTAGTGTTTGTGTTTTTTCAAAATAATGGTGGTCCACACCTGGTTGGCGTAGTCCAACCGTCTGCTGGTGGTAGGGTAGGAATGTGTGTGTGTGTGTGTGTGTGTGGCCTGTGGGCCTGCTCCAGCCTGTACCAGTACAAACCTCATTAGGGGGATTATAGCTATAATGGACTGGAGGGGATGGCTGACTGATTCAGATACTCAGCAAGATTTATGTCCCTACTCTACAGTAAGTGAGCACAACTGAGACGTGCGCGCACACACACACACACACACACACACACACACACACACACACACACACACACACACACACACACACACACACACACGATGTCCTTGGCCATCGTTCAGTGCTGTCACACAAATTTTTAAGCACTATGCGTGCATGAACACACACATATACTGTTATACAGAAAAGCATACAGACAAACACTAACATCATACACTGCGACACACACACACACACACACACACACACACACACACACACAGTATAAAGCCAGTCACAGCAGGCGGATTTTCTTTTTGTCGAACTTCCCACTTCTTTTTCTCCATCACATTCTTGACTTCTTAAAGAAGATAAAATGACACACACACACGCGCACAAAGAGTTATCTGACCTTTGTCCACCAGTCAATGCAAAGAGCACTGCGGCGGAACCTATTACCCACACACCGCTGCATCTCGGAGAAAGAAAATGAGTTAAAACAGTGGCGTCTAATCAATTGACCTCAATTATGAGCCTCCGTCGGCGCTCTCGCACTCACACAAGTAAAGTTTGTGAAGACAGACACACAGACTGAAGATGGAAACTTATATCTTTAACAGAGATACAAACGTGTGCATCCATCTGTGAGCAAAACTTACAAACGGCTCCTTAAAAGATAAAATCAAACCCTGGTTTTGATTTGAAGTGTCAGCATTTTGATTCTGCCATTACCTCTCTATGGTAGTCGTTCTCATAGTTTGCCATCCCCACAATTACCTTCCTAAACATGAGGGACGAGGGGATTGTAAACAACATAATCCCACTTTGTGCAGCTGCATCAGATTATTCCCTGCGCAGCATGTGATGTTCTCTTTAAGGGTCTCGATTCGCAGCCAAGACCGAAGAAGTTCAGATAAGTTTTCTTTACATGTTGTGGAGAAGTTTTCATCGGTCTTGTGACTTTATTCCAGATAAGAACGCCACTCGGTGGAGGTACTTAATCAACCCGGCGCCTGTGCATTACAGAGCCACACACACACACTCGGAGGAGAACTGCTCCCGTCAGAGACTTTGTCCTTTTCCTCTTTGCTCATCCCTTCTCTCCTCCTTTCTTTTAATACTGTTTCACTCTGTGCCTTTTCTCTTTGTTTTCTCTCTCCGCCTCCCTCCAGCCCTCTGCTGTATCCCTCCACCGTTCGATTATCCCTGACACAGGCCACATAAATCAAGCGCCCCCCCCCCCCCCCCCCCCTTGTCCTCCTAATCTCTTTCTCTGCTCTTCTTTCCCCGTCCACAGCCCTACTCGCCAGATTGATTTCATTTCGCTCATTTTGTTCTTATCCTGTGACACACACCTCCTCCCCTCTCTGTTATCCTCCAGCTCGGCCTCGCTACAGTTTTATGAGATTTGTAATATCAGCCGGGCTTTTACTTTTTTTTTTTTTTTTTTACTGCCTCCAACACGGTCACATAAAATCCCATGAAATTAACACAAATACCGTTTATAGACATTATGTATATTTTTAAGACTACAGCACGCTGCTCCGGTACAGTTTTGGAAAAGTTGCTGCAAAAAATAAAAAACTGAACATTTCATCCTTCTTCGTCGTGTCAAGCCTGATGCCCCCCCCCCCCCCTCCCTCTGTGTTTCTCACTTTACTGATTCTGGGACCAATTTGCTGTAAAAGGCTTTCATGTGCGCATCCACCGTGCAGGCTGACATACGCTTTGTTGCTTTTTCTGCTGCTGCTATTGTCAGAGCCTCCACCTACACCGCCACCTGCTTTGTGTGTGTCTCTGTGTGTGTGTGTGTGTGTGTGTGTGTGTGTGTGTGTGTGTGTTTGCGTGTGTGTGTTTGCGTGCTACCCCGGAGGGTCTTGATTTCTAAATTAAGCCCCGGGACTGGGGGATTTATGAATCATGTTGCGATGTATGTGTTTCACTACAGCAGGGAAGCGTCGTCAAGAGCAACAACCGTGCCGCAAAGTCAAACTTTACTGGCATCTCTATTTGCTGTAATGTTTAAACTAGTGACGCCAATGATTCCTGACAGAGAGAAACTTCTCCAGTTTGGAAAAGATGCACATTAAGTCACTTTATCTTTAATTTGCACCAATTCTACACACCATCTGTATCTGTGTCCTCTGTGTAGAGAAGAAGGTCTCTTCCTTCATTTCTTGCACTTCGAGCAACGCACATTACGTAAAGTACATTACTGTATTAGTACGTATTACGTCTTCCATTATCTGCTGGATGTCCTACAGTTAAATGACCAGGTCACGACTCCCCCTCTGTCCAGTCCAGGTGTCTGAAGCCTGTAATCTTTGACTCTCTTTATGCTGAGGCATAAAACCAGGATCAGGTTCTTTTCACTCATTCGCTCATCTGGAGAATTTCATCCTTGCTTTTATCTCCCATCCTCACTAAATTATTGTAATGCACTTTATTCTGGTCTCAGCAGGCTACAGCTAATACGACATGCTGCTGCCAGGCTTTGTACTCCAGTGAGTTTTCATTACGCGATCGATAAGTTGAAAATATACAGAATAAACAAATAGTCAGTATCTGTAGCTTTTAGTCTCCAGTATGGATCAAACTCTAAAACACTGGATCTTAAATTCTCCATAATGCAACTCAATAGCTGCATTGTGGACACCCAAGTCTTTGAGACTGTGCGCTCGGTTTTCTTACAGCTTTGTATTATAAATGTGTGTCCTTCGAAGCCCGAGTCGATGCAGCCCTTCATCATCGCGGCTATTTTCTCCTCCAGAGCCGCAGTCACTGAACAACTGTTTTGACAGGCTGAGTCGAAAACGCCGCGGCACGAAAACTTCATCTTCAACTTTCTCTCCGAGATGAGTGACCGTATTACTTCAGTCTCTGTTTCCCTGCACTGGATACTTGATTGCTGTTTTTTCAACTCCTGATCTGGTAATTCCCTACAACATGTTTACTGCCTCAGATCCTCTGGTTGGGTCTCTAGTAGTGGTTCAAATTTCTTGTCTTGTCTCTAAAGCCGGATTCAGACCAACTTGAGCCCCTCACGACAAAATGCATTTCAAATGGAGCCAATCAGGTCACACAGCCAAGGTACCGACTGTAACGGGCCTGTGGCAAAAAGGTTGAACTTGACTCAACTTTTGCTGCAATGCAGTGTGACATCATCCGGCGAAGTGCACGCTGGCCAATCAAATACATGTTGCACACATTCTTGGTAGATTACCTGATTGTAAAATCTTGTCTCATGGTACTTGGAGTTAATTTGCTGTGCAGGGTTTTAGTGTCTGATGAGCCTATAAACCCAAACTCAACTTCCTGGATCTGACTTCATGTCTCACCAGCACCTTAAAGAATAAATTATGAACGCAGCAGTTTTCTTTTAACGATTATAATTTGTTGTAATTGTTATGTTCCTATTATGACAAAACTCTGTGGTGCAGTGTCCACAGCTCGGTGCTCACATCATGACTGCTGCATCAGGTCACAGCTGTCACTCACCGTAGTGCGGGATGATGGCCCAGGCCATGGCTGAGGCATAAATCCCTCCGATCATCCAGAACATGCAGAGCCAGCTCAGATGCTCTCCTCTCTTCTCTCGAGCCAACACCTCCGCAAAGTACGAGAATACTATTGGCACAGCTCCACCAATCCTGCAAATACAGTCTGTAATTAACTCTGTGTGCCTCGGTCACACATGCAAAAAAAACAAAAAAAAACAACAACATTCAAAACAGATTCATGGTTACGTAAATTCATCAGGGCGTTTGGAGTTTGAAATAATAGAAGCAACTGAACTGTGAATGATATGAACTCTTAAAATACTGTAAAAAAGTCAAACATGCAACTTGTGATTATGCAATGAGCCTTTGAGGACGTCAGATTTCGACTAATTTTTCGCCATCAGGGCAGAAACAGGGTCGAGCGGTCGACTGTTCAGGCCTGTTTTAAAACCTGAACCATCAGGAAGCAGCGACGCTGCCCGCTGCAGATTTGTTGGAGGAAGCCATGTTGTCATCAACTGACCGAGGAAAATGAAAGAAGAAGCATAATGCAGCACACAGGATATTACAAGTGTGTAATTTAATCTCTGAGGCGTCTTCACTGTTGCATTACCGGACAGAACCAGAGGCTGTTGAATAAATGTTTGGATTATAGTGAGTTGAGTATATTTGTTACATATATGTAAATACAATAGATAAAATATATGTATCCAGTAATGGATTTATGATGTGTTATTCCCACATATTTATCTTCTTAAGGCATTAAGATCACGGTCTTAATGATCACGATGGTCACCGAGTTAATGAGGTAAGGAAAATCTTAACAGAACAAGGAGAATCTAAGTCAATCTGACAACAACTCTCGGGGCTGGATCGTATTCCTCCCGGACTGAGGGTGTAAAAAGAACAAAAAAAAAGAAAGAAAAGAAATAGAAGTCCCAGCATTCCCCTTAGAGATCCGTTACACCGTCACCAATACAACCACAGCTCCAAACACTATAGATCCGTTCGCTCGGGCACATTTCCACAACAATCGTACAGATTCTCAAAGGTATTAAAGCTAAAGAATGAATGTGTTTCAACCTCTACTATAAACCTGAGAATTAATAGATGAAATAAAAGCTAAAGCTACTGATTAAAAATTTAAAGCAAAGCCATTAAGGAAGTGGCAGTTTTTTTTTTCTTCTCCTTATAGTTGCTTATACAACTGTAATTAAACAGAAGCGAATGTAAATCTGGTGATGATTAAACTGGGAACAGGCTGGACTGGTGGCCTCTAAAGGGTGATATCGAGGTATGTACACTTTACACAAATGATTTTATATGTCTGAAAATAGAAGAGCAGTAACACTTCCTGGTTTTGACAGCTCTACCCAGTACAGGTAAAACACCTTACTGTAACTGAGGCTCATCATCGACCTGCATCAGCTCAACTCATCATCACTGGTCAAATTTAAGAACTGTGTCTCATAATGATGCTTGTTTCATAGCATTTACTTTCCATTTCCCTCAGTAGCCTGACCTTTGAACTTTAGCTGACCTCTATGAGACATGTACTGTGTGAACAGGGATGTCAGATCACTGATCTGACGGGAGGGGCGTGTCATTCATCGAGGACGTGGGCAGCCAAGCAGACCACACCAGCGCTCACCGCCAGATGTTCATTTAGCGCGCTCGGCTCATTCCTGCAAGTTCCTGTTCTGCTTTGTTCCTTCCATCTCCCACACACACACACACACACACACACACACACACACACACACACACACACACACACACACACACTCAGGGGGATGAGGATGGGCTGGTGCCAGGCAGTTAGAATAACCTCCTGTCATGTGCTTTGACTTTGGAGGAGGAGGGGAGACGGCAGAGGAACCGGTGGGAGGACAGATCGGGCTGGAGAGACGGAGGAAAAGTCCTCGGAGACGCTACAGTCGCCTCAAACACACAGGGGAGGACGGGGTGATCCAGGGAAGAGACAGGAGATGAGAGACAAAGGAGAAGCGTTAAGAGGACTCACCCAAAGCCAGACACCATGCGGCAGAGGAGGAACATGCTGTAGCCTTGAACGAAGGAGGAGAGGAAGGCGAAGAAGCCGTTGACAGACATGGATATCAGCAGGCACTGTTTACGGCCCAGCTTGTCTGACAGGCCGCCCCAGAAAAAGGCTCCAAACATCATCCCCAGATACACTATGCTACCTGGAGGGAGGGAGGGAGGGAGGGAGGGAGGGGGAGACAGAGGGGAGGAAAAAGATGTAAATGATCACAACCATCTGGAGTCAAATGTTTGTAAGTGAAACTGCTGAGTGGATAAAAGAAAACATTAAACTTTGGAAAGAAGGAGACACAGTTTGCAGTCAGAGAACCAGACCAGAACCAGATCTGACTGACTGCACATTCACATTCACAGTCCCAGAACCAGAACCAACACTGATATCTGAGGCTTCAAAAAACCTGATAATGTATCAGCCGATATTTGTTTTGTCTTTTAACATAAACAGATGATATCTTTGACAAAGATTATTAATAAATCAAACTAGATTATTAATGAATTTTGATGAGCGAGACAGTTACGGTTTACGGTGCTCTTTGGTGGACAAACTATGTGATTTTAGCATTTGTTTTGATTGCTCTCACAACTGGTGCCACTGCAGATACCAGTGGTCTATTATTGCATTGGTATTAGACACACACACACACACACACACACACACACACACAGCTGCACACAAATACACACACCTGCTAACCATCACCTGAAGCATTAAGTGGTGCTTTCCAAGTGCATCAGTAGAGTAACAGAGCTCAGACTGAAATTGGTTCTGTTATTTCCCGGCTATCGACAGAACACTGAGAGGTCACATAAAATGTAAGTCTCTATAAATAGCAGAGTTGGGATCGATTAGTTGAGTTTGGCTTGGAGCGGCTACGAGATGCAAGACCGTGAGGCCACAGCGCTGCGGATCTACTCGACCGGGAGGTAGAGTTTTCCATTTCCTGCCTGTAATTATGGAAGTCGATATGTCTGAGTTTGCATGAACTCAGATGAACTCACGGCGGCAGGATCAGCATCTGATAACACAAACAGTTTGGTGCCGCGTTACACGATAAAACTGAGTTCTCTCTTCATGTGCTTCAGTGGAGGGTTTATTTTGCTTTGGAGATGTTTGCATTTGCGACTGGTATCTAATATCGTAATGTGATGCCTTTAAAGTAAATATCTCATGTGGGATAATCGAGATTCAACTCAGCTTTAATTGTGTCTGAGTGAAACGACTCTGTCTGCTAACTGATATTCTGTAAAGTGACTGTGGGGTGGGGGGTGGGGGGGGGGGCAGAGCAGCAGCTGACCTCGCAGCCCGGCTTTGTTTTTTACAGTCCAGGCGTTCGTCTCTTGCTGCTGCTTGTGCGCAGGAAGTCCGGGGTCATTTCTCTTCCTGTCCCCCGGGAATATGCGGCATAAAGGAAAAGGGGGCGGTGGAGAAGGCTGGTGGAGAAGGCGGTTGGGGGGGTTGTCAGGCCAGTAAATAATCCACTTTACTCTCTATGTGCTAATAAAAATGCTAATGTGTGTGGAGGGGGAGATGTGATTGTTTGACGAGGCAGCGGCCAGAGAAAAGGAAGCCTTCTCCTCCTTTCTCTTTTTCTTTTTTTTTTTTGTCTTCCTCCCTCGCTCTGTTTGAGGTGATGGGGCAGATACACTGAAAGTAGAGGGTCTTATCAAGCTGCGCAGACATGATGCTGAGAGCTAGTGATTCATTACAGGTGACAGCCACTGGATCTATCTATGCACCGCCACTGCAGAGGAGGCTCTCCTGTAGGCAGCGGGACGGAAAGAGCGAGCTACCACCGCCGCTAGCTTACAAATATCAAAGTGAATATCAAAACTGCTGCGTTCTGCACAAAACTGCCGCTGACATCTTCTGATTGGTGTTGCTACACACAAACAATGAGTGTGAACGCGTGTACCGAAGAAGATGCTATCTGGGAACATCAGCTCATTTGTTTTATGGCTCCCCTCACGCTGGGTTTCTTGTATCTGTAATAAAGGGGGAGGGTGATGGTGGTGTTGGAGGGGGGGGGGGTGTGTTTGAGATGCAGTATGAATCTTTCAGGGACTGGATTTATGCTTTGCTGCAGGGTTCAAACTCGGGTCAGATGTTATAACCTCCACTCGCCTTAGGAAAAGCAGGGTTTTTATTTTTATAAGCAAGGGTCAATTAAAAGCAGTGGAGCAAGTGTTTGGCCTCGTGAAGGGAACCACACTAACAACTGAATATCTGGTGTCTGGTTTCTATCCTGCTATCAACACAAAGTGAGTAACATCAGCCAACAACCAAACCTAAGCTGAGTCTACATCGTGGTATAGGATGTGATTCTGTATTATATTATTTTTAATGAAAGATTAATGACATAAAAAGTATTAAAAGTCCTTCACATTAAGAAACTGCACTGAAACAAGGCCGTGTTTGAAATATCTACTCGCTCACTATATAGTGAATCAGCCATATTGCAGTCCTACTTTCCTATTTTCACCTAGCACACAAAAATGTAGAGTACAGAAGATTTATACTAAACCCATCAAGCTAGACCATCATGCATTGCAGCCTGTCTCGTGAACTTGCTGCAGAAGAAGCAATAATCTCGCTAACAGGCTCGGTGCTAACGTTAGCTGCTAGCTGATGTGATTTTATCCCCCAGTGAGAGCACCTGGACATCTCTCCTCCGTATTGCTACATACGACATCCTGCTACATAATACATAATTACGAATATCCGGCACATAATTATGTAGCTATTTAAAATCTAAGTAGCGTCCGAAATGCGTCGACTGCACTTATCCACTAGCGAGTCTAAAAAACTATATAGTGGGTGAGTGAACAATCTGAACACAGCCTGAGTCTTTTAACAATGCGACAAGAAGATGTAATTACTCCACAAGAATATGATAATTGCATCTTTGGTTAAAAGCTCAGACTGAAGGACGTGGCGTACTGACAGCAGTTCTCCGTCAGTGTCTACGTTCAGCCACGGCACAGCTGTTAACATCTTCAGATGTTTCACAGGATACGTGAAAACTTTGACTGTGGAGGGAAGGTTTTGAGATGTGTCTCCATTTCTTCAGTAGAAAGTAGTTCAAAAAGAAAACTGCTAAGTGACTTTAGATGTCTAGATATAAATATAGATATACAATTTGAGTGAATCAGTCCTTTAAATGTGTATAAAATCCAGCAGGAACTCTGTGGTTTGATGCCGTGACACAGTCAGTCTCAGTAAAGTTGTGCTGAGCCCACCTGAACTGTGGTGCTAATCTTTCTCTTGAAGCAGACGTTCCCAGCAGACAGTGTCTACGCTCTCTTTAACGGTACACTGTGCAGCTTCCCTCTGCATCTGCAGGGATTATTTCAGCTAACGCTTAAGTTGTCTCCAGAAGTAATTAGCTCTTATGTGTAAGTGTAATTCTCTCCTGACAACTTTCTGCTCTGCTTTTCTTTTTTTTTCCCCCTCCTCACCCCCACCATGCCGTGTCCTGGCATGGATGAGAGGAGAGCGCAGGCAGACAGACAGCAGTCGGGAGAATCCAGCTCTAATTTCCTCAGTGGGAACATTCAGGACATTAAGTGAGAGCTTCAGGATTTCAACAGATGAGGGGATTCCCAGAGGAGCGTGCGTTGATTGACAGGTGGGCTTCAGCAGGGAGCGAAAGCAGAGGAGTGGGAGGCAAGGAGGGAGGGAGGGAGGGAGGGAGGGAAGGAGGGAAGGAAGGAAGAGCAGACCCCTGGAAACAAAGCATATCCCTCAGATATTAATTACATCAACACCTGCTGATTTGTTTTCGCAACGGTGCCGTTCACTCAGAAACACTCAGCACTTCTGTCTGAGTTAAATTAAGTTCATCTAACTGTGAACGGCATTTTGAGATTTGCGATTGCAATTTCAGTTGGAATGGTAGTTTTTTTTTATTTTGTTATTTCATTTAATTTAAGAAGAAAAATTTAAAAATGATGATGTGATTTTTGTTGTAGGGATTTTACCCACGTGTTCCTCCACGTCTGTCAGCTCGGAGCGTCTCTGTAGCACCACAGCACTTGCTAACAATGCATGATAATGTTGTGACACATTTTACTTTTATCTTTACCTTTTATATATTGCACTCAGCCAGACTGCCATTTCAATTATAACTTCCATTAATTGTGCAGCCTCTAATTATTGTTGTAAAACATTTGAAACTATTCAAGTCAAAGAGGCAGAAATGATGAGTCGTTCACTCCGGTCAGCAGATCAGGATCATTTTCATCTGTTCAGAATCAAAAGAAAAAAAATACATATTTTTGTTGAATTTGGCGAAGAGGATGACATCATCCATCCATTCTCACGTGATGGATTTATTATATTAGAAATTCTTTCATGCAGGGGTTGATTTCTAAGTCTTTTCTGATTGCTCAACATCTTCACTGTGGAAACAAGTCGCAGCGTTCACACGTTGCCTTCACACATGACTCCTGCTCTTTCTTCATGTCGTCCACTCAAATCAATACTCGACGCCACAAGAGACACACACAACGACTCAATCGTAGGGTTTTTTTTTTTTTTTTTTTACGGTGAAGCCACATTGAATTGCAAAGCTCTTCGTCTGGACGGTGAATAGGTGAATAGATCCTGTGGTGGTGCTTTGTTGTGAAGAAGAAAGCGAGAGAGACGGGGGAATGAAGAGATCCTAGCAAATGTTGTTGTCCCTGCATTGTTTAATTAACTAACCTCGGGCTGCAGCAGAGCCTATTCATCACTGGCATTGTGTTGGTTCACTTCGGCTGTCGATGGCGTTTTGCGATCGCGCACTCAAAGTAACCGCAACATCAGTTACACAAAGCTCACCCGCACTGACCCTGACGCAGACGTGCTCCTTTCAGGTCCTGACTCTGTGCAGCACCTGCAGCAGGGCACACACGCATTGTACCAAACACCCAACAAAATGCCAACTGCAGACAAATTAAAACAGTATGTGGTGGAAGAGAGAGGGGAGGTGGGGGGGGCAATGTGATAGGAAGTGTATGAAAGCGGCGCTCTCCCTCTCTTTCTCTGGGGAGGTACGTGAGCCAGTCTACCATGGCTAAACTGCAGTGAAGCACAATGCTGCAGAGATTAACTCCAGCCCGTATCTTCAGATCGGCTGCATGGCTGTGAGACATAGAGAGAGTGTAAGAGAGGGATTACAGCAGGAGGGCAACAAGAGAGGACAGACAAGAAAGAAGAAAAAAAAAAGGAACATCCCGTATCTGGACGACATCTCACCTTTTATATGATATTAAAAAGGGAAAGCCATGATATGCAAAAGACCCTGTGTTTTTAAGTAGTGGCTCCTATTCACCTTTGAAGATTGGTGTGTCTTTTAATATTTGTCACGTATTGCATGTGCTGTTGTGTAGGTAACACTTTTTATTAAAGCAATGCTTAATTAACCAGTGAATCACATTAGGTAGTTATTAAGTTTGCTTAATTTACGCTGAATTAAAATGCTGCTTAAGAACAGGCGATTAGTCACAATTAGGAGATAATATGGTGATAATAAAGAAAACATCAAAGTCTCTGGTACTGGTGATAAATGAAGATGTTCGGGAGGTAAATTTCCATTTCCAGTTTGCATTTTTCTTGAATATGTCCATATGAATTGAAATTATTAATGGGGATGTTGGGGATTATTGTTGACGCGTTATGAAATCTCCACCGTCTCTTCAAAACATTTTCAGACTAAAAACCGTCAAAGAGCTTGTCAGACGGTCCAACAGCATCTGAGATCAAAAGCAAGGTTGCGCTCAGCAGGTTTTTGTAACTTTCCCAAATTAAAAATCTGACAAGCGATGATACTGTAGAGGAGAGAGGAACAAGTATTCTCTTTTTCTCATTATTCACAAAACTACTTCCTCCACTTTTTAGGTGCATAAACAAATGCAGCACCAATGAATCCCTTCAGAGGAGAGACGGTCCAACAGTGTGCAGGATTATCCCTCTTTGAAAGGTTATTGCATCTCTACCCCTCTCTGAAATGACAGACGTGTCCAGTGTGGCCGTTCAGAGCAGCTGCAACAACCCAGTCTCACGAAAAACTACTATTTCTATACAACTAATACATTTTCAGTGCATGTGCAGTACTTCAGTTACTTGCAATGAGAATGTGAATGATTTATGTTCATTGAAATGATGCTAATAAACCTATTAATGCTCAAATTATTTGCAACTCTGGCTAAAGATTGAGCTGTAACCAGAATTGACTGCACAGGATGATCTCTGTTTTATTTCATTTTATGTCTCTTCAGTCTCTCCTTTCCTTGTCCACTTAAAGAGTCTGTGACCTTCACAGAGAAACTGTGGTAAAACACCAATCAGCTCCATTGTGTAAGGTTTATTCTTCCAAGTACATCCACAAGTGAACACACACACACACACACACACATCCTTTATTTATGCAGTGAGCGAGTGAGTTGGTAAAATGACTCATTCTTTCTATTCTCTCCCTCCTGTCTCCCTCTGAGAGATGAGTCAGAATAATCTGTGTGAATAAAAGAGCAACCCAAACAAAATAAGGTTAGCATTCACTTTTCTGCTTATGAAACCACACAGTCACATTGTGACTTCAACGCTGAGAGAACGGCAAGCGCTCTGCAGCCATTTTTTTTTTTTTTTTTTTGATATTAGCGAGAGCAAATAATGAAGCCGAATCGAACACAGCACACATTCACAAACATGCCGACACATTAGCGGCAGACAAACACAACTTTCCCCTCCTCGTGTGGGAGAGATCCATCGTGCTTAACACACCTCCTACTCATGTATCCAAATACCTGGTGCCATGACAACCTGCTCGCAGCTCCTAAAGCAATGAGATTAGTGCTGAAAGTGTCACCCACCGCTGCTCTCCATGCACAGCCCTGCGTGTTATGAACAACACGGGTCATTAGCAGGTTGTTAGCGGGGACACTAATTCCATCAACACCCAAATAGTAACACCAGTCTGTACATGTCATGTATTTTTACTTCCGTGTATCTGCACCAATCAGAAAACATTTTCCGTGCCTACAGAGTCGTTCCAGCTGAATTCATGGCTTCTGCAAACGGTGCCAGAAGAATTTGTGCTGTCACACTGCACCTCTCCACAGTCAGGATTTCTCGCTGTCACTTCTCCCATTAGATATTCAGGATCTCTACTGTGTGACAGTCACACTATTCTTGGCAATGAATCCAAACCTCAGATAGTTTGCACGCAGACTCGCAAACAACACGTCTGGTGAAGTGAAGTGCTTCAAGCTTCCACTCATTGTAATCAATATATAAACTCTGAAAAGCTGCTTCCTCTTTCCGTCTCTGAGCGCAGACACTACTGTCTTCCATCACGGTGTGTTTGGTTGTCACTTCAAATAGTGTCATTCAATTAAGTTGAGTGTTTTCCTGTGAATTTGAGGCTCGCTCAGCTGATGTAGCGTTGCACGTCTGTAACATTGTTGGAGTCACAATGAACGGTTTAAAAGAAAAGGTGTCAAAATTCAGAGAACCAGAGATATTAACCTTTTTTTCTTTTTTTTTTTATCGACATATTCTCCATGTCAAAGCCTGGTTTTTACATTTCCCACAATGCAACCTGACCACCAACAGTACGGTCATAGACAGGGCTGTGTTATGCTAGTGCTAATGTAGCCGCAAGCAAAGATGATTGGCAGACTACACAGGTCCGGTAAGCTTCACTTCTTTCTAACTACACACCCTCTGATTATTTTTTCATATTCTAACTTCTACTCTAAAGACCTAATTGATTTTGCTTCAAATAACATTACTTGAATCAAAAGGTTATACAATTTTCACATATACAGTAGTACTTCCCAAGACCTGTAAGAGGACTTTGATGTTTTAAACCAGCATCTCTCTTATAAAGTCCCAAAAGTGTGGTTTCAAGTGATATACATTTTTCTATAATATTAAATATTTCAGACTTCAGATTTCAGAAGTTTGGAAAAAAAAATCCTCAGCTATCAAGAGTTTGATGTTAAAAAATTCTGCTAATCTGCTTCACCTGTAGCCACACCCAACAGTGATGTCATGGTGTACTGGTGCACCCTGGAGTGCGCTCTTACATCACTGCAGCAAGGTGACAAGTTCAACTACAGATCAGCAAATTTAATTAATAAGATTTTCAAAGGGTGTTAAGTTGCTCTTTAGGCTTTTGTGTTTTATCCCATCTCCACATATGTCATTCCCTCAGTAAGAGGCCAGAACGCACTGGCAGGGTGGCATGTGCGTGGCGGCTGCGTCACATATTGGTTTTCATTTCAGTGCCCATTAAACAGGTTGGAACAGACAAATATTACATCCTTTAACCATTTTAGCAGCTGCATGTGGAGACATTAGTACTTTAGTGACATTTTCTGTCAAAAATAAATCAATAATTAACTTATAATAAAAAGAAATCCAACATTTGAGTAGCCTGCTGATGACCATTATCCAAGGCAAACTATGCTGAATTATAGAGCTGGCAGTAGCAGTGACGCAGCCACCACGCACACTGTGTGTTCCTGGCATAAGTCCAAACAGGTGAGACATAGAAGTGTTTGTAATGTATCTGTGTAAGAAGAACAAACAACTCGGCAAAGTGTGGATACTTAATAACTTAATCCACTGTATTGCAGATCCTTACCCAGCCATCCGGCTCCAGAGTTGGGGACGCACATGTCTGTCTCAGCACTGGGCAGGACAAAGCCCACCACGAACACCTCCACGCCGTCTGACATGAGCGCAAGCCCGAGTACAAAGAACAGCTGCCACTGGAATCTCCCGTGGCCACACTCCTGCATGATGAGCTCGTACTGCTGGGCCAGCTCCTCCTCGTCCGCCTGTCTCTCATTTTCCAGCTCCTTGCGGCTCTTGGCGCTGTCAGAAACCGGCTGGCCCAGAGCCACCTGACCGTCCCGCAGCTTCCCATCATTGTAGGCGGGCACGCCTTGGTACTCCCCCTCGTAGATCTCGTCTTCATCGTCGTGGCCCTCCGTGGCGTCGCTGGAGGCCCCGTCCTCATCATTGGCTGCGTTGTCGGCGTAGTGGCCGTCTTGCTGAGTGTAAGCGTTGTAGTTGTTCTCTTCTTCGTCCTCGTTCTGGAAGCGGTTGTAGCTGCGATGAGTGGAGTATTCATCTGAGGCCCGATCAACAGCTTTGCTGAAGTTTTTGGCAGCGTGCCTCTTGGCTTCTTTAGCGATGTCCTTGGCACCTTTGACCAAGGAAGTCCTGTTGTTGTGCGTTTCATCCATCTTGGCACGGGGATAACTGGCACTAAAATACTTTTGCTTCAACTCTATAGAGCTTTTATTAGGTCCGCCAGGTGCAGCAAGTATAAGCTACCTGTTTTTTCTTTCTTTCTGATCTTCTATCCCCAGACAGAGCAAGACTTAAGGCAGTTTGTCAGTGCAGAAAAGCCACTCAGCTGCCAGGACACTAATGATTAAGTAATGATGTCTGATTCCATTGGATGTGGAGAAGCCAGACAGTCTTGAAATGGAGACAGTTGATCTCAAACCGCAGAGATCCTCAGTCGTGTCAGAGCTCAGTAGAGGAGACCATCAGCCTGTGGGGACAGAGAGAGAAAAGCACATTTAGCTTGATTAAAAGCTGTCTGTCACAAACACTTGACTGCAGCATTTCTTGGCACACTGAGAAGAACTTCAAAAAGAACATTTCAGCTCAGAGAGAGCCAAACTTCCCACTGAAGCTGATACGAGCTGAAGTCTGCTAGTGAAGTGAAATGCATCAATAAGAGGGGAATGACAAAACAAAATGATTCATTGAGAACAAAATGTGAAATGTCATTGAGTTTTTTTCAGGCTGAAAAATATCTGATGATTTCAGTCTATTGTAATATGAAAAAAAAATCACCCTATAAGAATATTTGCATTATATCCTATAAAGAGTGAATGCTTTATTTTGTGATGCAATTCATAATCGGCACAAGCTATAGTGGAATCAGGGCTTCTTTGACACTGTCAACAAAAACTGAGTATGACGAGCTTCACCAAGGTTAGCTTTACTGCAGGGCTCCTATATTTGAATGCATGGAGCTACAGATTTTATTTTCTAATTTGACTGTCAGTCATAAAAAAATAAAACTTGAAATACTCCGACACTAGTTGTCCTCACACTAGTGCCACCTTTCCAAAGTAAAGCCTTGCAAATTGCTGACATTTTGCTAATGGCTAAGTAGCAAGGTGTAGATAATAAACTGCATGACTCTTTTTAGAAGTAGTGAGAAATCTCCTACAATGTTAATGAAAAGTGGGTCCAGCCCATTTGCAGACAAAACAACTAAACTTGCAGTTTGCCTGACCTACGTGTGCCAAGTCTTATTTTGAAATATACAGAGAAAAACTTTTAACAAGCCCATCAATAACCCAGTGTGAATGAAAAGAAGAAAAAGTCCAAACAAAAATGACTGCATTAAAAAAAAAAAAAGAAGCTATGGCATATAATGGTGATATAAGTCTGTAAGCTGTCAGTCAGGCTTGTAAACCAACAGAGTTCCTTTTAATTACAACTGATGTCCTTGACGTATTTCTGGAGCTCTTCCAGGACCATGGCACAGGGCCACACACAAGAGTCAGCAGCTTCACTGACGACCGCTCAGGGCCTGAAACATCTCTGCTCTGTGCAGCAGTCTGACAAAAGTCATGGTGACCCCCCTCAATCTCCACAGCACTGCTTTAGACTTCATGCTCTCTGGCTGCATTGCCTTGCAAAAGGTGATAAAATGCGTCATCTCAGCAGCCAGTTGTTCTCATTGTTAATGAGGTCAAGAGATGTCAGTGTAGTGTTCACAGCTTGTTTCTGCTGCCCCCAACTGGCCAAAAGATCAGTTATTGCAGGTTAAAGTATGTAGCTAGAGCCAGGAGACAGCAGCGGGAAGAGTTAGCCTGCTAGTCTCTAAAGCTCACTGATTTACATGTTATATCTGTTTGAAAGAATAGAAAAGTCCTGGTCTTAGTTTAGAGTCCTGAGAGGCAGATTTTGTTACATTTGGACAGAACCAGGCTAACAGTTTCCCCCTGCTTCCAGTCTTTATGCTAAGCTAAGCTAACCATTTCCTGGCTGTAGCTTCATATTTACAGTACAGACACGAGAGTGGTGTCAAGCTTCTTATGTAACTCTTGGCCAAAAAGCAAATAAGCTTATTTACAAAAATGTCAAACTATTGCTTTTAAATTTATACATCTTGGGCACTAATAATAATAATAATTATTATCATTTTGGGGTTTTAACAGTTTTTTGTTTTTACATTGTTAAATTGTATTGCAGCACTATGTTGCCTGGTTTTGTATTGTCTTTTGTCAGTTGTTTACTGAAATAGCATCCCTATGGCAGCAGGCACACCAGACCTTTGTCGTCATGGTTACACTAACAAACACACAGTTAAGCTTATGGAGCAGGTTTTTTTGGTTATGTTTAGGCACAAAAACCTACAGAGTTATGTTTAAGGAAAGGTCATGCAACAATAAAACGTAATTATGGGTTGAAATAAGCTGCTTTCAACCTTTAAGGTTATTTTTCAAAGGGAGAACAGTCTTGGTGTGACACAAAGACTTTTAAATTCAGTGCACATTTGTGTCAAGTCAAATGGAACTGAATAAAGTTGGATTAAATAAATATTAGTCATACCCGTCATCATTTATTCATTACTATTATACATTCAGAAAAAGAAAATTACATTCTTGGAAATTTGACCGGCTGTGTTTTCTGTCAGAGCTTATTCATCTCTGGTTCATGTTCCCAGGCCCAGAATACATGTCAGCCTGTATGACTGACTCCCCTTAGGGCTCTCTCGATTGTGACACTGGCGTGGCCTCTCAGAGAACCTGTCAACTCATCAGGCCCGAGCCGTCTGTCTGCCACGCTGCAGCCGGCAGCCACTAGACCCAAAGACCGCTGCGGGAGAACAACCAGTAAGCTACGGGCCCTCACATTACACTCCGAAGCCCTTCAGCACGTTGTTACTGACAGGGCAATTACAAACTGCACAAATACAAATATACGGCACATGCACAATTCATGTGAAGCAGCATTTTCATGGCCTTCCATTTGACTGGAAAACACTGATCTCATGGATTTTAGCTAAAGTTAAATCCTCCATAATTAATGATAAT